TATATATATATATATATATATATATATATATTATATTTTTAGAAGTTGTAATGTAGTTTTTAAATACAACAAATAAGTGGTTTGAGTATGCTCACCCCCTATATATCTTTTTAATATAATAATAATAACAATAACAATAATAATAACAATAACAACAACAACTATAATTATTGTTGATGTTGTTGTTATTACCATTATTATTATTATTGTTGTTGTTATTGTTGTTGTTTTAATTGCATATAACTTATTTATTAATATGACTCTTTCTTTGCTTTCTCTTGCTATTTTTCAAATGGTTTGTGTCTCTTTTAGTATCTCTATTGGGAAGTAGAAAATTAGTTATTTTTTCTTTTTGATTCTTATGTTAAACGATGTATTGCTTTATTTTCATCTCAATTTTTTCCTTTATATGTATTTTAAAAATTTTATGACTATTTAAATAAATTGCTTTTGTAACTACAATATTATATTTTTAGCAAAAAAAAATGTGATGAAGTATATATAAAATTTAATTAATTTTTTATGAGATACTTGAGTAATTTTTATTTCTAATTATGAATTTTGATCACATCTCCTCTAGCTTTCTCCCACTATTTTTCATTTGCACCATATCAATTTTTATTGCTCTATTTAAAATAGCATTTAAAAATTTTTCATCTCCCTATGATCATATTTTATCACAAATAGTATACCTAAATTGTTTATTTGTTGGATGGTTTTTTAAAAAATCATAATTATTTCATAAAGGTATTCAATAGTGAAGATAAATTCAATGATATCTAAGACCCTATTTTATTGAAAATACTTTTCAATGATAAACATGTTTTAGTGATTTATATTTAAATATCACTTGCAAGGCACAAGCATATTACTAGTTATATATTAAACGAGTGCAAGACTCCCTATTCTTTAGCTACCTATCCCACCATATTAATGACTCTCTTTTCTCTCTCCCCACATCTCTCTCTTCTCTCTCTCCCCATATCTCTCTCATGCCATGCATGTCATCTCTTGCCCATCCTTCTTCTCTCTCATCCCATTCTCTCATTTCCAATCTCTCTCTTAATAAATTAACTTTTCTAAAATTTATCTCCTATTTTCTTTCTCCTAATAAATGAAAATTTCTCCCCTCCCTCCCTGTTTTCTCTCTCTTCTATGTCCTCACCAATATTCTCATACACATCCACTATCTCTCTTTCCTAATAACTCATTTAAAACTCTCCCCCGATATTTAACCAGCTCTCTCCCTCTCTTTCCATAGCGCCCTATTTTTTCTCTCCCTCTTTCCATAATGGAGTTCATTCTCTCTCTCCACACTCTCTCCCTCTCTATCCCGTATTTTTATCTCTTCCTCTCTTTTTATAACATCACATTTCTCTCTCCCTCTCTTTCTATAATGGAGTCCATTCTCTCCCTCCGTGTTTTCTTTCTCTATCTCATATTTCTATCTCTTCATATCTTTTGATAAATCGGATTTAGATTCAATTCTAGATTTGATGTGTACTATTTAGATTTGAATATGAACCTGATGTATACTATTCAGATCTAAATCTGGATCCGAATATCCATGATCTAATTTGAACCCAGATTTGATGCATACTTTTCGGATCCGGCCCCGATCCGACCTGTTCTCACCCCTAGGTCTACTTCAAGTCCAAGTTAACCTAGACGTGCCCTACTGGTCCAGTTTGGGGTCCGGATCGGACATGTTTATAAGGCTAAAAATGAAAAATATAACTTTATCCCACCTCTCCTCTCCTATTAGACATATATTTGGCATCAAAAACTAGCACCACAACCAAGTCCATGATGGATATATTTGGCCTCAAATACTAGCACCAAAACCAAGTCCAATACACATACCCAAGCCCACACCCAAAATGTTGTACCTTATGTGCACCCACCCTCCAAACACCTCCTTTAATTCATGGCCAAATTCTCCATCAAATCCCTCGCCCCCAATTAAAGACCTAAGATATGCCTATCAAATCCATACCCAACTCATCAAAAGGAGAATGGCTCAACACAACCCTTCAATCACTCAAATCCTCACTCATTGCATTGAGTTAGACCCTCATGGCTCAATGCACTATGCCCAACTTCTCTTCAACCAAATGCTTAACCCTGACCTCCTTATTTTCAACCTTATGATAAGAGGCTACTCAAAAAGTAGCATTCCTCAAAGAAGCTTAGAACTCTTCCTCCAGATGCTAAACCATGGCCTCATGCCTAACAATTACACCTATCCTTTCCTTTTCAAGGCTTCCACTGCCTCCTCTGCCCAACAGGAGGGGCAGGCAATACATGCACATATGTTGAAGGTTGGCCTATCTGATGATGCATTTGTCAAGAGCAATCTCATTAACATGTATTGCTCATTTGGGTTAGTGGAGAAAGCATCCCAAATTTTTGATAAAATGACTGAAAGAAGTGATATAGTTGTCTGGACGTCGATGGTAAGCGGGTACGCCAAGTGTGGTCAGATAGAACGGGCACGGAGGGTGTTCGATGAGATGCCTCAAAGAGATGTTGTGGCGTGGAGCGCAATGGTGACTGGCTATGTGCAGGGTGGGCATTTCATGGAGGGATTGGAACTCTTTGCATCGATGCAAGTCACAAAGTTTAGGCCTAATGAAGCTTTGCTAGCGAGCGTGCTAACAGCTTGTTCGCACCTCGGTGCACTAAAGCAAGGGGAGTGGATCCATTCACATATATGGAAGAGCAATTTGGGCCTCAATCCGATTGTCGGGACTGCTCTTGTTGACATGTATGCCAAGTGTGGGAAGATAGAGAAAGCAGTCGAAGTTTTTGAGGAGATTTCGGAGAAGACCCTTGTCTCGTGGACTGTCATGATCAAGGGGCTAGCCATGCATGGGCTAGCCAAAGAGTGCCTCTCCCTTCTCTCTAGGATGGAAAAAGAAGGGATAGAACCTGATGGGATCACATTTGTAGGGGTACTTTGTGCATGTGGTCATGGTGGCTTGATCGTTGAAGGTCGAGATTGCTTTCGTAAGATGACCCAAGTGCACCACATCACACCCGGGCTTGACCATTTCGCTTGCATGGTCGACCTCCTCGGACGAGCAGGCCTCTTCGAGGAGGCCGAGGAGCTCATTGAGGGGATGCCAATGGCACCGGATAGCGCCATTTGGGGTGCACTACTCAATGCCTGTAGGATTCATAGGAACGTAGAGCTGGGTGAGAGAGTAGGGAGAGAACTCATGAAGCTTGGCACACAAGATGGTGGCCATTTTGTGCTCCTTTCTAATATGTATGCCTCATTCAATAGGTGGGCTGATGTTTCCAGGGTTAGAAAATCAATGGTGATTGATGGAGTGCAAAGAGCACCTGGATGCAGTTACATTGAGGTCCATGGTGTGCTACATGAATTTGTAGCTGGTGACAGGGTACACAAAGATATAGAAAAGATCAATGCCACATTGGAGAATGTATTTAGAGAAATAGGGTTTTTGGGTTATGCCCTAGACACTAGGGAAGTGCTACTTGGTGTAGATGAGGAGGAGAAAAGGAAGTCCTTAAGGCAACATAGTGAGAAATTAGCACTTGCATTCGGTTTAATCAGAACAAACCCTAAGGAGCCAATTTACATTGTGAAAACCCTAAGAGTTTGTCATGACTGTCACAATTTTATGATGCTTGTGTCCCTAGCATACGAGAGGACTATAGTGATGAGAGATAGAAATAGATTTCACCATTTTAGAGAAGGACTTTGTTCTTGCAAGGGGTATTGGTGAAGATTAGGGTTAGGGTTGTGTTTTCTTATATTCATGCTCATCTATGGATGTGAAATTGTACACAATATTTTTTAGTTTTTTGTGCCCCCTTAGATTTGCAGGGATTTGTAACTTAATATTAAGCAAAGAGACTTGTTATATACCAAGTTAATCCAAAAGCTACCCAAATGACATTGTTTCTAAAACCATTTTTTACAAATTGATGCATAACCCGGTTTTGCAAATACCGGATCCCAAATGACTCAAAAAGTCTTCGGTTTTTAGTCCAGTCGTGAGTATGAGTACAAGAAATTATATGGTGACACCGAACTCTACATCTTCTATTAAAACATTCTAGCCTAATTCTATATTCTAGACCATAGTTATCAAAATTGGAGCGGTCCCATGATCTGACTCATCGGACCGCAACCTCGGTTGGTCTAATCTAAAGTAAAAATTAAATTTACTGTTGTTTGATTGGTTTTAGCCAGTCCAACTGATTTGATCAGCTAGCAAAGTGGGAAACATATTCTTAATGTATTACATATTGTAAGAGTATTATTCATATTTTCTTAATATTTCTAAGACAATCAAATTGATTAGATAAGTCATCCGTCCCAATTTGATTATCAGTCTCATTTTGATTCGAACAAATCCCTTACCAATTCACTGTTATGATTTAGGTGTCTTTGACCATATATACATGTTTGGGTACATGCATGCATAATGAATTTTGATTTTCCTCACAGCTGCATGTTAATAAATAGAGAAAATTTACATAAATATTTGTTACACTTTACGATATTACGGATGTACCAAATGGTTTTCGTTATTATATGCATATCCGTTTTTTTCTTTTTATAACGTAATTTTTTTAAAAAGATGACTTTACCTTTTGTTGGATGTTGAAATACCGAATTGAAGGGTTTTTCAGATGTTCAATATCCGAAAATAGGTCGAAAGTTTAACATTCACATTCTTATTTTCGGGTGTTGAACATCCGAATTGAAGGGTTATGTATACATTATATTCCTTGTGAGAATGGTTTCGGATGTTGGACGTCCGAAAATATCACATTTTCGAATGTTGAACATCCAAAAATAATTTTGGATGTTGGACATCAGAAAATATCATATTTTTGGATGTTCATCATCTGAAAATGACTGCGTTCATCATCCGAAAATGACTACGAAATTCCATAGACTTTTTGGAAATTCAAAGTCATATTTTTGGATATTAAACATCCGAAAATATGACATTTTCAGATGTCCAACATCCGAAAAACCCTTCAATTCAGATGTTCAACACCCGAAAATGGGAATGTGAACATTGAACTTTCGGCTTATTTTCGGATGTTGAACATCCGAAAAACCCTCCAATTCGGTTATTCAACATCTGAAAAAAAATAAAGTCGTATTTTTAAAAAAATTACATTATAAAAAATAAAAAATAGACATACAAGTAATAACGAAAACTATTTGATACATCCGTAATAACGTAAAATATAGCAGATATATATATATATATTTGTAATTTCCCTAAGAAATATAGGCCACTTATGCAAAACCAATCAGATCCAGGTCAGGAGTTCGGGTTGAAAGTAATATGTGCGATTGTATGAAAAATGCTTATGAGAAATTGTTACACGTTTCATTAGTTTACTGGATCCCAATGGACACATTGTATTTAATTTTTATTATTATTCTATTTAAGGTTTAAAGCTCAATTTTTATTTATTTATAGAATAATCATCTAGTAATTCTCGGTCACTTCCCAAATTCCCGATTGAAATAATGTCTTCTAATAGAAAGAGTAGAAATAAACTAAAACGAAACTATGCTCACCTGGGAGCATACTATACGTGAGCGCACAAATTGCAGATATTTTATTATAGGCACTCCAGAAAACTTCTCGGCTTTCGATGCCAAACATCCTTATCAATCTCCCAAAATTCGTAGTTGTCTTCTCCTGGTTTTAGGGGTTTTAGCGTTCTCTCTCTCTCTAAGAAGCCTATGATTCATCTCTCTCTCAGAAGCCTATGATTCATGTGTAGGACTGCAATGGGTTCTGCGATGAAACCAGAAGAAGAGAGAGAGAGAGAAGAAGAGGAGATATTAACTGAAAAATGTGATAGGTTTTGCATGTTCCCTATCAGACACAAGCAGCTCTGGGAGATGTACAAGAAAGCTCAAGCAAGCTTCTGGACTGGTATTATTTTTTGATTCTTTTTTTTTTCTCTTCTTTTTTGGTTCGCAATTTCAAAAGTTTATGAATAAAATTTGCTTTTTAGCTCTGGTATGGTTTTTGGTACGTGGGGTTTTCAAATTGGGTACTTCTCTGTTATATATGTTTTTGAATTGGGTTTCAAGCCCTTCTTTTTTTTGGCAAAATTCTATTTTTTTCTAATAAAAATTGTTTGCTACCTTCTTCTTTTTTGGTTTTTTCTAAATTATCTAATAGATTTATTTCAAAGTTTATCTTTGAGTACCATACATATTTTATTATAATTTTTGCTTTTCCCTTGATTTTCGGGTTTTATTCAATCCTTACTTTTGTTCACGTTTCACTTAGCTTTTCAGGGATTTCCTCTTTTTCCTATGTGTTATTTCTTTTGTATTCTGTGTTTATTTTTTACCCTGTTTCATTTAGTCTGAATTAAGTTATTCATATTCAGTTATTCACAATTGACAAGGTTTCTCGTTAAATTCTTTCTTCGCATATTGGAACCTCTAATCTTTAAAATTTCCAGGCAATTCTCAAGAACCCAAATACTGTATTTTTTATTTTTGGCTGTCATTTCACCTTTTCTGAATCCAATTAGATTGTTAAGGACTGAAAATTTAAGAATTTCTGTTTATCTTGCTACCATTTTTATTTTTTTTCCTTTCTTTCGCTGTTTTTCTGCTTCTGGATTGCGTTTTTAACATGGTTTTTTTTTTTCGATTTGGTTAATTTCTTCGCTGATTCTTGCTTTTTGTTTTCAAATTGGCAGTTCCATCTTAGCTCTTCAGAATTCCTTTTCCTTTTGTTTTTTGTTTAGTCAAATTTGATTGTTGTACAATCTTTGGGTGCAATATGTTTCTTGGGAGTCTGTTTTATATATTTCTTTTTGTTTTCTGCTTTTTTCTTGTATTGAATTTGCTTCTTTTTTTTACCATTCATTGGAATTCGTCATCATTACGGATTACATTAAAATCAGCCCGAAACTTTATACCAACTGCTTATTTATGTTATTTCTCTTAGCTGACAGTTTACTTCTCTTTGGTGTCAAATTTTAATTGCAGCCGAGGAAGTTGATCTTTCTGCCGATATTAATCAATGGGAAAGCCTTTCAGGCAATGAGAAGCACTTCATAAGTCATGTGCTTGCGTTCTTTGCTTCATCGGATGGAATTGTCTTGGAAAACCTAGCTGCTAGATTCTTGAATGATATTCAGCTGCCTGAGGTCACATATCAATTTCTGCACTTCTTTCTATTATGTTTTATAAAGGCTAAGTATCCAATCCAATTGTATAAAGATTATCCTATAATTTCTTTTCTTTGCATGTAAAGGCTAAGTGTCCAATGCTACAGTTCTAATTATATTGCTCTGGATCAATTGTAGGCTCGGGCATTTTATGGTTTCCAGATAGCAATGGAGAATATCCACTCTGGTAAAGCCCTGAAACTGATTTTGAGGTAACTCGAAAGTTTTTGGATATGTTTTGGTTCTCTAGTTAATTCTTCCTTTCTTTTCTTTTTTTTGCAAAAAATATCTCTGCAGAAATGTATAGCTTACTTTTGGAGACTTACATCAAAGATTCTAGAGAGAAGCAACGGTTATTCAACGCCATAGAGAGTATTTCTTGTGTGGCTCGAAAGGCCAAGTGGGCTATAGATTGGATTCAATGGTATTCCACTTCAGTTGTATTTTGATTGTTTCTACATTTTGTCATTCCTTTATATGTGATAGAGAACAGATGTTGTTTTTCACCTTAGTTGTCATTTACTTTTTGTTCTTTTCATCTTTAATATTCAATTAGAAACCTCAATGTGGGCACGTTCTTTTATGGTGCGCTTGAATCTTGGAAAATGTGGTTTCGGAAATCGCTTCTTCCAGACACTGTAGCACTTCCCTGTTTGATAACAGGAAGTGCTACATGAAAAATGGATACCATGGTATCCACTTTCATTATTTTAAATGTTGAAAAATGGATAACGTGGGTACCATTGGTGACCATGGAAGTAAGACTCAGTTTCCAAAACTGTGTCTTCTAAAATTTGAACATGCCCTTAGAGATTGGGGAATGATGTTGCCCTGTTTTTAAAAGGATAAGGAGTTAGACATGGCTGTAACAGAGAGATTGGAGCGTTCACTAAGGCTCGAGTTCTATGGGTTTAGAGTCGTCCAATGTATCACCATTTTGGATCAACATTGTCAACAGCAGCGCTGCTCTAGCTTGAAGATAACGTAGAATCCTTTTATACTCTCAATTGCATTGCTTGCCTGATCAAGTGGGGACATAGAAATTTAGTATCCCATGTACTTTGCTACAATGGTGTAGTACTTCGTCTGTGTATGGTTGACAGCTCAATCTTCATAGTTTGTCCTTAATTCAAATTGAATATCCAGGGGTGTGTGTGTGTGTGTGTGTGTATGTGACAGAGAGAGAGAGAGAGAGAGAGAGAGAGAGAGAGAGAGAGAGAGAGTGGTCATTTCCACTTTCTGTTATGTATGTGTTTATACATTATTTAAGCATAGGGATAGTTCTGTGATTTGTCATCATATGCTTTACTTTTCCTTATTATCATTTCTATGAGAATAAGGCAACATATGTAGAATGTGCCAATCCTGCTGTTATTTTAGCCCAGTTGATTCCACTATTTGCTTCATAATAAATAGTTCATTGTATCAGACTATTACATGATTGCATATGCTGTTTTTCTGTTAGTAACATATTTGTTTATATTCCTTAAGTGTTGGGATGGTTCTGTCATTGTTTCACCTATTTTCTTTGTGGTCCTTGTTGTTTATTTGCATTACAGTAAGAGGTCTTCTCATTGCTGCCTAAATCACTTGTATATAGGACCAAAGCTCTTCACGACCCACTTAGTGAGAATCATGACATTCCTTTGGATTCTGAGATGTAACTTTAATGCTTCAATATTTTAATAAAAGAAACATCTTACACATTAATATGCTGAGCGGTTTTCTAAAACAAGGAAATGTCAGGTAAGCCATAGATTCATGCAATATGTGTTTTTGTTATATATTCTTTAGAGCCATGCCCTGTGTCCTGTGAAATGGAACTCAAAGTTTGCTATTCTGCTTGCTTAATTTTATAATGAGCATAAGGTCATTTTCTCTTACAATTTGTTTGATATTAAGAATATTCAGTTTTTTACCATTCCTATTCTTTCTCAGCTCAAATTCATTTGCAGAAAGACTTGTTGCCTTCTCATGCATTGAGGGTATTTTCTTCTCTGGGAGGTAGGTTTGATTTAGTTAGTTAAGTTTTCTCCTATGTTCCTTTTGATGCTCTATGGAAAATTCACTACCATTACTTTTTTCTCAGTTTTTGTGCCATTTTTTGGCTTAAAAAGCGAGGTTTGATGCCTGGATTAACCTTCTCGAATGAACTTATCTCAAGAGATGAGGGTCTACATTGTGATTTTGCTTGTTTGTTGTATAGGTGAGCTATTACTTCCAAAGTAATTTGTCTTCATTAATCGAGCAAAGAAGCATGCTTTGTCTCATATTTTTTGTGTTACAGCTTGCTGAGAAGGCCTCTCAGTGAACAACGGGTGCACCAAATTGTGCATGATTCCGTAGAAATAGAAACTGAATTTGTCTGTGAAGCTCTTCCTTGTGATCTGATTGGCATGAACTCAGTTCTTATGAGCCAATACATAAAATTTGTTGCTGATCGTTTGCTGGTAAAGCTTGTCAGGTTTTTTAGCTTTTTTCAATTATTTATCTCAATAACCTATGCATTATAAAATTTTATTAACAAAATAGTATACATTAATATTGCTTTTTGAAAGCTAACTATTTGTATTATGTTTTTTTGAGAAACGTTTAACTTTACGATTTGTATTATGTTAACTAATTTATTTACAAAATGGTTATACAGTTGGCAAAATCTGTATACCAATGGCTATCAAGCTGTACAAAAATAATACTGTTAATGGATTGTCCAGGTTTCTTTAGGTTACCACAAAAAGTACAACGTTGAAAACCCATTTGAGTGGATGGACTTCATTTCTTTGCAGTGAGTATACTCTGTACCACGGCTTCTTTTTTCTTTATAAACTAGTTTTTGTTTTGATTGTCAGTTGCATATATGGGGATGGGTTAGCATCGGATTAGTTGTATGTTGAATGTTGAATGAGGATGCCCCTTCTTGTCACGCAATTACTAACGCTTCAAGAGTTTCTAATATGGTGGTGTTTTTTCTGCATTGATTCTTCAAATGAGGCCTAAACTTCCTAGTCTTTTCAGTGAAAGTGCAAGCTTCTTGTGTATTTTATCAGAAAGAATTTAGCATTACTTGCAAATGCAACTGTGGGATTTATAGAATAATTGGAGAAGTATAAATCTGACGTATTCATCTCGGCATTGTTGTTTGTTATCATTAGACACTTATGTGATGGACCGGTCGGTCCTAGAATGTTTTCTTTTTTTTAATCCATACTGGTCGGTCCAAACTGCTCATTAGGACCTGCTGCCAAACTCTTCCTTAGGGGTATTTGTGGGACCCAAAACCATATCTAAACAAGTTTGAGCAACTCTTGTTCCAATTTCAAAAATTTAATAATTAATGATTTTGAGCTAAAAAATCACAAGGTTTGATGTACATCAATGGATGATGCAAATTAAAGCTTGGAGAGGATTTTAGTTGGAGCACTTTTTTAGATCCAAATAGTCATTTTATGAAATTGATCTTAGAGTGTATAAATGTATTTGAGAAGATTTTAACTTTTAAGGTCCCCAGAAATACTCCTAAATGGGAGTTAACTCCTTTATTTATGCTCTCTCTCTCTCTCTCTCTCTCTCTCTCTCTCTCTCTCTCTCTCTCTCTCTCTCTCTCTCTCTCTCTCTCTCGTCTCTCTCTCTCTACTCGTCTCGTACGTACTACTACTACGTCGTACGTACTCTACTACGTCTCGTACTACGTACGTCGTCTACTCGTCTACTCTCGTTACGT